CTCCATTTCTCATGAGTCCTCAAGAAAATCTTTTTGTTTTACCTGCCAGTGCTTAAGGTACAGAATTCCTTCTTGTTGTTCTTAGAGTTATATAATCATTAATATGATTCTTTATAGTCTTTTTTTCTTTTTTAATATCGAACTCCCTCCCCCTTTACACCTCCACCTCCTTAAAGGATAAACAGCAAATCTCTTTCACATTCACAATCCTAGTTGCTTCACATTAATGTGCTGATCTGGTTTTTATTCTTAGCTTCAGTTAATAGCAGTTGATATTTAAGTTACATTTTTCTAATTGTGAATCCACACTTTGTTGTTTTGTTACTTATGTTTTTATATATTTTGACAAATTTTTTAAGATTGTATTTTGTTTCTCATTTTGTAACAGTTTTTACATTGAGATCTGTTCTTGGTGTTTCTGTGTAGCTTGAATCATTCTGTAGTTTGTTCTAATGTTTATTGAGAAGTATTTTGAGCAAAGGTTTACTTTCTGGTAAGATTATGAATAGCACATACTTGCAATGTTATTAAAGTGACATCTTTATCTCTCAAAGCATCTGAATAAAAACTATATTTGAGAGGCTTCATAAGCTTTGGGAAGCCATCACTTATTATTCATTTGTCACATGTATCTTTTAAGGGATAAATTTTACTCTGGCATAGGGATAAGATAATTTTGAGAGTAGGATTAGCTCAGCCTTTAAGGTGAATTAAAAAATAATCCTGAATTGTTATCACAGGAAAAAACCAGGAAGGTAGAAAAGGTAGTTAAGCAACTGGTATGGAGAAATAAGTTGTCAGATTTTTTTGTTGGTGGTGGTGCTGTTGTTCTCTGTAGAAATAATGTAGAAAAGTTGGAAGCTGGAGGGATCCCTCACCTTCCTTTATACTAGTTACAATATTTTTCATAGTTTTAAATTCAAACCTTTACCAATTTGGGGGAAGCCTGGAAAAATGAAAGTTTTTTGTTCACAATCATCTATTCTTAGTCTGAAAGATACTTATGGGTTGAAGATATTCCCAGGGCTACTGCTTGATTTCTTCACGCTTGATGTGGCTAAGGAAGTAGGTTATAACAAAAGGCCTGGTCTGTCACTATGTTCTCTTTAATTAGGAAGATCTTTTAAATTCTTCCTCAGCCTTAATTTACTCACATTCATATAGACACCAGAGACACTGTTCTATTAAGATTCTGTTGTCTTCCATGAAAGGGAAGTGAGTGAAGTAGTTAAGGACGTAGGAGTCTCCTAAAGATTCTTATGCAACTATCAGTAAGTGTACACAGAGAAACTTAATTCTAGCTCTGTAAAAATTCGCTGCTGCATCTACAGTTTTGTTAAAGGCAATACTGCCCTCTCGTGTCCAGAAGCCAATTTAACCCGTCTCCATTAAAATACTCTTTTACTCTAGAACTTAAAAAATTAAGTAACAGTTATTTAAGACTTGGGTTTAGTTTGTTTGATTTAAGTCCTTTGAATCAGGTAATCTGGGGACATACTAGAGTCATCTACCTATTACTACACCTTATGTGATAGGTAATATTTCTATTTTTTTAAAAATATTACTTTGCTCTGTTCATAAGGCAAATGTTCCCAATTCTATTATTAAAAATATTATACACTGGATCATTGCCAACTTTTAGAAAGCTAAGTCATTATTCTTTCTTTACTTTTGTAACTGATGTGTCATTTTCATTTCATTCTGGATATAAATCGTAATTTCTTTTGCCTGTGTTTTTTCTTCACAAGCACGCCTTTCATATAATGATAGAGGTAAGATGCATTGATGTTTGTTTTATGGTTGTGGAACTTTTTTGTGGATGCATATTAAACATTTTGTTCTTAGATTTTTTTTTTGTTATTGCTTTCTTGTGCATCTTTTATATTTATAAATTTATGTTTTGAAGGCATTTTTAAAAACATAAAAATATGACTGATTTGCCATAGTTTTTGGCTTTAAAGGATTGTTAATACGATTTATGGGTAGAATGTAAAAGCAACAGTTTTAGTTCATTTGAAGTTAACACCTATAAGCTAGATTTTTTTTTAGTATTAAAAATCTGATATTTGTTAAATTTTATAGTATATCATTAGCTTAAATGTCAGCATGTGTTCATTTTTAACAGGCTGACTTTCAGGTCAGACCATTACCTTTTACTATGCAAACTGTATTTTCAGACAGTTTCTTTCATCTTTGGCATCTTTAATCCTTAGCACATGGACTAGCTGGAGAAGTATTAATTTGATCTCTTGCTGTCTGGAGGTTTAAGACTTTGATTTGATTAGAACTCAGAATAACTAAAATTATCACAATTGTTTTTGCAGTTCTTCACTTGGAATAATTTGTTCCTGTATTGATTATATTGATGATGTTGGATAGTAGTATATGGGGGCACAATTCCCAGCTATTATCATTTGTTGCTTCTCAACATCAAGTCTTCTAATGCCATGATTTTCACTTGTTGATAGATCAAGAAGAGATACAGTTGTAACCATGTTCTAATGCATGTTCTTTTAATTGTGCAAAATAGCACGGATAAGAAAATTTCTCAGGAATTCTGCAGTCCTTATAATTGCTTCCCCTTCCCCAAGTGGTTTTTCTGTGTAGCGGGACAACCCATGTTTTGTGGTTAACCCCTAATTGTTGCTGTCATTATGAAGTTAAAGTCTGAATTGTCTTCTAGGTGTTCATACTTTTAAAAAACATAAATCTTTTTAAAATCTTTATTCTTAGAATCAAGCATTGTGTGTTTTTGTGGGAACACTAGTGTACTGATGCTAAAAACTTTTCTAATTTGACATTAGACATTTGATATTCTAAGTTTTGACATTATAGGAGTATACTTTAGTAGACCTTTTCCTCATCCTTTGAAAACTATTCACTGTTCCTTTTAAATTTTTCATTTGTAAATAATAATTTCAACAGCTGTATTTGTAGACTGTTAAATGTTGTATATAATGGTAATATTATTGATTTAAGATTTCTACTGAAATAACAGTGGCTTAAAAACTTGCTGGATAGAGCCTTAAAACTGAGAACTTAGCCTCTGCATTTGGAAAACATTTAATTACTTATTTTCTTAAACATAGTCATTATTGTATGTTTCTTAAAATTAAGGCTAATATTATACTGAAATTGTATTTTGAACTTTCAGCATACTCATAATTTGAGTGTTTTACATTAGAGCCACGACTTTTTACCTAGTTATTTTTCCTTTTCAGTTTTTCAGCCCTTATCTGTATACTTTAGTTTTTGGCATCCCTGCTTTGAACTTTTTTACTTTATAACTTATTTGTTAAATAGGAAGATGTTAACATTAACATTAAAGATTTTCAAATTGACTGTTTAGTTGACCTAATTTTTATGCAGTTTTCTAGTAATTCTGGACTGTGAAGATTAAATGCTTCCTTTGTCTGCTGAAGAATAGTTTTCAACTTTTTTTCCCTGCCATCCTCACATTCACATAGGCAATATTTCTTATTATAGGTAGAGATGAGTTTTCCAGGAATGTGGTAGGGATGGTGTAGCTTTCATCAAAACTCTCCAGATTCTTGTGTTCCTTCTCATTGAAAATCAGAAACCATTAAGAATCATCTTCTATAACATTTGCATCTGATTCTTTACTGTATTCTTTCAGGTATCAATGTATGAAGGAAAAGCAACTTTTATAGAAATTTTAGAAATAAACACCTGAGATTGAAATGCATCACAGGAAGTTTTCTAGTTTATCTTACTGTTTTAAAATACACATTTCAAACAATTTAACAAAGATTGTCTAGTTTCGAAGAAGAAATTATGTATTTCCCTATTAATACCTTGCAGTATTTTTATTGCTGAGGATCTTTAATGTAGATATCAGATTTTGAATTTTTGAACCAGTGAATGGATAATTCCTACACTAAGTCTTGAAGTATTAAGAGATTAAAAAAATCAAAAACAAAACAAGAGGAGGAAAGTCAGAAAGATGTATTGATAGAGGTGACATGCGGTTTCCAAGTTTCTTAAGTGCCACCCACTTCATAGTATTTATTGTTATTGCACAGAAAGTTCACTTCCTCCTTATAAACTCACTATGCAGCCCTTCTGACATTTTTATTTCTTTTTTCTGGAGGGTTTCAAAGGCTTCTAATATCATGTTTTAGTTGTAGATACCAAACTGATACAGTGCTTTTGTGAAGTTTGCTGTTCTTCTTTTATGGGGAGGATCCCCTTGTCATTTGTAAATTCTGTAGTCCTATTCATGTAGTGCCTTTTCTCCAATTTTTAAATTAACTATAGTAGTCTTTTTCTTATTTATTTACAGTACTTTGTCATCTACTATGATGATTACTCTCTTGGGTTATTTGTATTTAATTTGCTGATCAGCAGTAGAAATTCGAACTAAACGCATTTATTTTATTTTGGAGAAAGATAAGTTATTAATAGGTCAAAAAATCAGAATGAATGAACAGTTTGATAATAACAATTTTAATCTCTTTTATGTACTTGCATTTAATATATCTATCTAAAATGTATTTGAGAATGGTTGGGCATTTCTGAGGCGAGTGAAAAAAGATTCAGTCACTGGGGAAAGGAGATTTTACAGAGAAGTTTTCTTTGAGACATAGCCATAATATTGTTTTTGCTGTTTTACAAATCCTCATCAAGTGAGGGAGTATCAACTGATGAAACCAATGGAATACTTGTAGCAATGTCCTAGAGGTTACAAAAAAATCTTAGTGCAAAAATTAGACTAGATCAGAACAGTTTTAGATTTTTTTTCTGTTATACCTATAAAGTAGTAGTACCTGATTGTTATTATAAAACTCTAAAATTACTTGCCTTGTGAACAGTTTTATTTAGTAATATTTTAGAAATGTTTTGGCAAGACTGAAGTTAATGTCATCTGTGTTTACTGTTTCTGTCAATTGATTGCTCAGTATAATATTTCTTCTTCTATTTTGAATGATACATGCATTTATCATGTGCTGCTTTTTAATAATATTGTTATTTTTCCCTAGGACCCAGGACCGCCCCCACCCTCTCCATTACTAGGTTTGAAACCTCTGCAATTATTAGAAGTGAAAGCAAGGGGAAGATTTGGTTGTGTCTGGAAAGCCCAATTGCTTAATGAATATGTAGCTGTCAAAATATTTCCAATACAGGTATGGATAGAAGTTTTTGCACTTTTCTAATCTGCATATATATTTTTAAAAATAACACAATTCACTAGGCTATTATAATTCAGAATCAGTTTGAAAATACAAACCATATGTTTTAAGGTGGTTCTTCATGTTACTGCAAAAGGTAGTTAGCTCTTTTATGTTGTTTTTTCATCTGAGAAGTGGCATTAATAGTACAAAAATCATTGTTTGCCTAGGAGTGTTGAAATTACAATAAATTAACTTAGAGAAGATACAGAAATGGTAAGTGAAGGTGAAGAGTTCAATAAAAAATATAATTCACTGATAGGTTAATTTTTAACATCTCATTAACCTTATCAGAACAAACAAACAGAACAGGGAAAGAATAGTGTTTCTTTGCTTTGGAATTGCTGTTTGTATATTATTAGACTGATTTGTTTTTGTTCAACCTTGGATATTAATGTAATCATTTTTGGTGAATTTTCAGAGACAGAAAATTAAGAGTGTAGTTAGTTTACAATTGTTTTTCTTTTACAAGGGGGCTTACCTCATGAACCCCAGGTCTAATGCGTCTTTGAGCTGTTCTTATGCTTTTACTCCATAGGAGTTACAGATCTTTGATAATTACCTCCTCCCTCTTTCTTTTTTATATTTCCCAGGAGCTAATGTGATCCTGGCTGGATTTGGTATTACAGGTTTTACCTCTGTGCCTAGACATTGTAGCTTCCATATTTCAGAGTTATCCATATAGTATAATCATCTTATTTGTCTTAATATATGTAGATTCTAGTCTTCCTGCTGTTTCCTAAATTCTGTGAAGAAGTTTATTATTTACTTTTTGGTAGCAGTGCAGATACTCCTAAGAGGTAGTATAGTTCTCAAGGAGAGTCTGTTCCGTTGTGCCAAGATTCACAAATACAGTCAGGGTGTGAGGAAGCTTAAAAATCAGAGAAAGACATTTAAATGACTTTAAGGTAAGAGTAACAACTGTAATAATAGTAGCTAACTGAGTCATGTAGATGCTTTACATGGGAGAACTCCCTAACAATTTGTAATATAGGAATGTCACCCAGACATACAGTATAACATAAAGTGTGTGTATGTGTGTTTGTGTATAAATACAACAGTCTGATGAGATAAATACTAAAGCCCCATTTGTTACTAAGGAAACAGTGATTTTGTACTTTGCCAAAGGTACTTAGTAGTTTGAGGGTTCCTAACCATTATGTGCTTTTCTTTGAAAGGGAATAAATAATATGTGATATGTAATAGATGTAGATCACTTGTAAGCACACATGCATACTTTGTGTTTTAAATAATTTTATTGCATATTTTTATCACATTGTTATGTTATTGTCTTTGTAAGGTACTCTAAACATTTTGTAAATATGTTTGATATAATATTAGTCTTTTTGAAAAGGAAAACTTGCATCCTTAGATGAGGTTTATTCCATCTCTCAGGGATAAATTTCATCTCTCAGGGACATTATTCTGGTAAAACAAGTAATTTCTGAGTTGTTAAAATTATAGTACTAACTATACTGTACATACAGCAATGCAGCATTTCTTATTATGTGTTTACAAACTAAGAGACACAGAAAGTATGTTTGGAGGGAATGGCACAGGCAGGTACTTGGTATAAAACTTGAATATTGTAAGAAACCATAGAATTTTATAATAGTACTTAGCTTTATTTTTAAATTTTCCTTTTGAACTTGTATTTGAGTAATCTCTTATATATGGTCTATTAAATTGTATTCTTTGCTTTCTTACTGTTCTTTTTAAACTCTAGGACAAACAATCATGGCAAAATGAATATGAAGTCTATAGTCTACCTGGAATGAAACATGAGAACATATTACAATTCATTGGGGCAGAAAAACGAGGCACCAGTGTTGATGTAGATCTTTGGCTAATAACAGCATTTCATGAAAAGGTAAAAACTATTTTCCATTTTAACTTACTAAATGTTAGGGTTGACTTATCTAATGGTTGGCTACAAATTTCTCAGACTTATTTTTCTAAGAATAGCTTATTGACTAATAGTCATAAAAATAATCTTTTTACAAAGATAATTTAATAAAAGAACAGCGCTAGCAGCCTTTTCACCTAATCCTCTAGTCTTTTGTCCCTAAATTTATGTGCTGCAGTTAGCCCCTCTTACAAGTATTTATTTTGTAATAGCCAACGCTTAGTAATTTCCATTTACTATTTATGATTCATTTTAATAATATGAACCATTTTTTTTTTTGTACCTTGAATTTGTGATTGCAAACTTTTTAATCAAAAAGTTGTAGCATAGTAACAAAATTAGAATCAAAAACTTCTCTGATCTCTGGTCTATCACTGATTTATAAGATAATTGTCACCAAAGCACACATGCTTTTTCCTCAGCTTTTCTATAATGTAGTACACTTTAACAAAACAGGAAGTTTTGGTAATGTCCTAGGTAATTTGTTTCATCATTGTCAGATATAAGTGTCTCTTGTTAATTCTTAACCAAGAGTGTGCAGCAAACTATATTTTTTATGTTTTTGTTGTTGATGTGTCTCAGCTTTCTGCAAGTCCTAAGAGAGAAGTCTCTATATTTTTAAATTTTAAAACACTTTCTAGAATATTAGATTTTCAGCTAGTTTTTTTTTTTTTTTTGATGAACTCTTTCCTTCTAAATAGGAGGACAGAGTAACTGTGCTTATAGTAGACCTTCAAGGATTAGTGGTATATTACTTTCTAGTCAAATGTCTATTAATGTGCAACTTGAATCATTCCAGAAAGGTTGGTTTTTGAATGTTATTTCCAAAAAGAAAGATGTGTTGCCTTCCATAACTATTTAAAAGTAAAAAGGGAAATCTCCATATATATATATATATGTGTGTGTATATATACATAGTTTTTGTCGAGAGTACATTGTTTTCTTTCCCCCTCTTTCTTTAGGGTTCACTGTCAGACTTTCTTAAGGCTAATGTGGTCTCTTGGAATGAATTGTGTCATATTGCAGAAACCATGGCTAGAGGATTGGCATATTTACATGAGGATATACCTGGCCTAAAAGATGGCCACAAACCCGCCATATCTCACAGGTAGAGCTTAATTTACATTATTTCCCCAATGATTCAGTTTCTGTTTATTGAACTTTTAATCTCCTAGGAATATTTTTCACTGATTGTTCTAATCATGGTATATAAGAGGCAGTTGACTTTCATGATTTTCAAATATTACTAGAGAAGTTTAATTATTGATTTATGTTTGTCTCATTTATGAAAGCATGGGGTTAGTAAATATAAGTGTATTTTCTTTATTTCAAAAGAATTGGTTTTACCTTAAAACAAATTCAGATGATTTAAATGGTATCAGGGTATGTAATCAATGAGGAAGTTTATTTTTGTTTGTCTTCGAATGACCTTATGATCTTTATGTGAGTTGAAGTTGGGAAGGCATCCTTTGAACCAATGAATTTATTACTACATTGCCATTTTCAATGGTATATAGACATGCTATATATACCATGTCTATAGCATGTCTACTATTCCTCCTCTTTTCTACTCTTCCTGCATATAGCTAACCATTGCTCATGGCAGATTGTATTTAGCTAGGGGACAGCAATCTTTAAGATGAACTAGTCGAGGCTAATGTGTAGATGAGATCTGATTACCTTAAAATGGTTATTGTTTTCAGAACACAGGATATATAAGTGGGGAGTATATACTTATGGTGAATATTTTCTACCTGGTGTACATTCTCAGAGGTGCTTTTCTACAATGAGGTTGATGAATATAAAATCATTAAAATAGGGGACCATTCTGAGATGTAGGTAAATCCAGTAGGCAAAAGACTCACTTCCATTGCTATCTGAAATTTTTTTTATCTTGTTTTTTTTTTTTTTTTAAGATTTATTTATTTATTCATACAGAACTGGGGTCCAGGCCAGAGATGTAGAGGATGAGAGGATTCACCAGGGACAGAGCAGGGAGCAGAACTGGCAGATTTACGAAGTACACTGCTGAGGGGAACAGCGGGCAGGTCAGGAGAGGTCTGCCTCGCCATGTGGAGCTCCTCCGGGGCAGGCGGGAATCGAACTCATACTGAAGTGGCTTACGCTTCTTAGTGCTGTGATTTAACCCGCTGCACCACCAGGGAGGGCCCTCATCTTTTTTTTTTTTTTTTTAAATTTACATTTCCATGTGTTTTAACTCTGGACTCTGAAATATTTTCATTATCTTGAAATACAACAATTTTATGATTGACAAGTAGAAAAGACAGATAACATACATAAAGGCTGGACAGTATTTTTTGAATTATGAAGCTTCTTAGGGAGAATTCCTTCTTATCCATGTTGTAAGTAAAAGTTTGTCACTTATACTCTTATGCTTCAGGTAATATGGAAGCTCTTTCTCTTCAATTTCACACTTTCTTATGCAGACTTCCTCTTTTAACACTTTCAATGAAAAAAATTTAAAGATAACTCGTTTAAGCTTAATTTGAACATGTTTATCTTTCTGTTTGCAAGGGACATCAAAAGTAAAAACGTACTGCTGAAAAACAATCTGACAGCTTGCATTGCTGACTTTGGGTTAGCATTAAAGTTTGAAGCTGGCAAATCTGCAGGTGATACCCATGGACAGGTAAGTATAACTAAATTCAGTGAAAAATAATGTTGTTTTCCTATTTGTTAGAATCACATATGGATTGAATTGATTTAAAATTATTGTTTTATAAGCATCTAATATAAAATGGTTGTCTTAACTATGTTAAAATTGCCAAGGAAGACATTTTCAAATGGTGGTGACGGATAGTTAGGGTGTGAAGTGATTTAAACAATTCATGACACAATCACAGATGTCATGGATGCTTGCGAATTCACCCCCTCCTTCTTTAAAATATATTTTTTCTGTAGAAGAACTGGAATGTAGGAAGTGTGAGAGGATTCACCATAGAAAGAATAGGGAGCAGAATAGGCAGACATACTGAAATACACTGCTAGGGGAGCAGCAGGTGAGATAGAAGAGTTCTGCTCATTGTAGGTGGGTTAGCTCCCTGACTGGGGGATAGCACTCAGGCTAGGCTGTAGTGGTGACAGTGCTGAGACTTTCTCCCTAAGCCAACAGGGAGGCCCAGAATTCACCTCTTAATAGACTTTATTATTAAGGAATTCTTAATATTATCACAATAGTTTTAACTTGTTAATTCTTTCATGAGGATAAGAATAATCAGTCACTATGCCACCATGTATTAAGGTTCTTCTCATTTGTTTTTCTTTTCCACATTATGTTCATTGAGGTAAAATAGGTTTATATTGTTCTGTCTGCTTTGTTCAAAACAGCAGTGATAGTTTCTTGCTTTTTAATCTTTACTACTTTTAACTCCTTTAATCAACTTTATAGCTTTTTTCTAAATTCTCTTCAGAGTTCAGAACACTTCTAAAGTCCTGAGTGATATGCCTAACTATAGTCAAGGTATACACAGGTCTGGTTTCTTAAGGCTGAAGAAGAAAAAAGCATTATCCATATATTTCTTAGAAACCATGAAACTAAGAAAGGTGTTTTCATTCCTACAGGATTACTTTTTAATCAAGAAAACCAGTTTGACCTGAGAGGTGCCATTACTTTAACAAAGCCAAATGATTTAGTTTTGGGCATTATTATTTCACTTTCCATTCCTGCAGATTACTTGGTCCTAAGCTCACTTTTTTCCTGTTATATTCTGTTGACCTCTAGAAACATAGTTATTAAAGAATCATGCACAGATCATTTGGCATTACTGACTGACAACTTAGGCATTCCATTTAGATTAATGGTTAGCAGGCTTGTAATTCCAGAAAAGCTGATGCCAAATATATTAGGATAAACAGGTATTTTTGTGGACAATATTATTAAGGTTAGAGATTGTGTAGGAAGAATAGGGACAGACTTCTAAGTATACTTGGCTGCCAAAAGCCAAACATAGGCAACATCTTTTGGTATCTCATATCACTACTCTTTTTTTGAGAGAAAATTGATGAATACATTTGTTTAATGCCTTCAGAATTAGGTTACATGATGTAAAAAATAACTTACACAAGTAGTTTGACTTTAGAGTTCATGGACCAGAAAATTTCAAAATGCCATGTTTACTGCACATTTTATATGTCACTAAAAACAGTGGGGAAAAGTAATATTTTTGTGTGTTATCATTAATTTATAAAACATAACATTTTACACTTAAAATAGATAGGTCACAGTTTTATAATAAAGTGGTACTTAAGTGGCATGCACTTATCTTTAGAATCGTAGACACATAAAATGCATATGACAAAAACAATGTAAAATTATTTAAAGTAGTAAAAAGAACTTTTAAAAAAGTGTTCACCATATTATAAGGATTAAAAACTTAAACTTTAGTTTTGTCTTAAAAAAAAAGCCCTCTCCATTATACAATATTTGCAGATAGTTGCCCACCTTTAGAGTAGATATCACATTCACTTGAGGATGGTTCATTTTGGAATTATTAGCATCTGGGTGGTTTCCTAAGTCTGCTAAAACTCAAGTAGATTGTGATTTATCCAGCTATCCTAAATTTTTTTTTCTTAAGCATTCATATATGAATAGTGACAAATACCAATTAAAATTAGCTAGAAATGCTAAGTTGTTAGCTACAACTATAAAGAGCTTCTAGACAGAATTCAGAAGTAAGTAAATGTGTATTTTGTATATACATAGCTTTTTAAAGTTTTCCCATTGTTTGGCTATTTTGTTTTTTTGGTATGGCTAGTTTTTTCCTTTGATATAGAAAAAGAGAAAACCTCAAAAAGCAGTACAATTTGAAACTATACAATTTTTTGCTGTAGTGTGTACACCTCCCCGCAGACTGCTGCTTCCAAAAAAAGGGAAAAAATTCCTAAGCTTATACTAATGTAATGTAGAAATAATTTGTTTCCAGAAAATTTCTTAGTATATATGCTACTTTGTTTCTTGCTTTTCATCCTATAGTAATTTTGTAAATCCACCCTTATCAGTCTCACAGACTTATCTCATGTCTGGGAGCTACATAGTACTCATTTAAGAAGTCTCTCCTAATAGATACTTCTGCTGTTTTCAGTGACCCAGTTGTTTTAGTACTTGAAATAGAATAAAATTCTACTTGATCTTACTTGATAGACCACATTTAGTTTTTATTATTATTTTTTTTTTAAAGATTTTATTTATTTTTGTGCATACAGAACTGGGGTACAGGCCAGAGACTCAGGGGTGGCGAAAGACTTCGCCAGAGACAGAGCGGGATGCAGAACAGGCAGATCAACGAAGTACACTGCTGAGGGGAGCAGCGGGCGGGTCAGGAGAGGTCTGCCTCGCCATGTGGTCACCTCCGGGGCAGGCGGGAATCCAACTCATGCGGAAGTGGTCTCAGCTTCTTAGTGCAGTGCTTTAACCCGCTACGCAACCAGGGAGGGCCACATTTAGTTTTTATTATTTTACAGAATCATAAAATGTAATGTTAACAAATGAGTTTGCTTTTACCATCTTTTTTTAGGTTGGCACCCGGAGGTATATGGCTCCAGAGGTGTTAGAGGGTGCTATAAACTTCCAAAGGGATGCATTTTTGAGGATAGATATGTACGCCATGGGATTGGTCTTGTGGGAACTGGCTTCTCGCTGTACTGCTGCAGATGGTAAGGAAAAAACATTTTTAAGAAAGATACATATATACCTACTCTACATGTATGAAAAGAGCTGATTAGACTCAAAGCTATTATTTTATAGTATATTTAAAAAGGAGACTTAAGACATGGTAGCTTACAAAGAATTCAGAATGCAGGAACAGGGTAGGCAGGAGAGGAAAGGTTCTGATATGGATTAATCCTTTACCACTGCTAGTTGTTTTTCTGGGTACTTCATATACCTTTTGTTTCCTAAAACAACTTTGGAAGTGGTAGTATTTGTTTTAAAGTAATCTTAGTATCAAAATTTAAGTAGAAATTAAAATAACTTGCCTATTTTAACTGTAAGATAATAAATGGTTAACCTAGATTTGAAACTCTGATCCAGAAGTAGGAAGAGGCTGCTACTTTGATAAGGTTGTTTGCATTCTGCCTGCTGGTTCTAAAGCCACCTCTTAGAATAAGAGATGTATATGGAATTAAGCATTGTGCCTCCCAAGACAGTCAAGCTGAGGCTGTTCAGACCCCAGTAATGCCAGCATATACCTAAGTAAAGGGATTGAATTTACAGGCTGGCCTCCTTGACACTGAACTATTAGGTGCAGTTCGTATATATCACAGGTCAAATGTTGTCTCCTTAAATCTTTGCGTGTGATCCTATTTGCACATTATTGTGAATATTATCTTTGTATAGTACACAGCTTCTAAAGAGTTTCTATTGTGTTTTTGTTACCAAAGTCCTTGTTCAAGCCTTATAGATGCTGGCATTGATTAATTACAAACCTTCACACTGCATTCCTAGTGTGACAAAGTATGAATTGTGCTCTAGGAACTCAGTATTTAGTGCTCCTTGAAAAGTCCCTATTATGTGTATGTCACAACACTTTTTTGCATGTGAGGATATAAGAGCACCTTCCTGTTAAGCTCCCAAATAAATGTAAATTAGCTTGATTGGTTTTAGTTCCATTCATTATTATCTAAAAACTTCCTATGGATTGTAAAAAACAATAGATTAAATGTATATTAAATATTTAAAAACACAGCAGACTTTATCTATGTTAACAGGAAAATTTTCTCTAAGTATTGTAGTCGTCTTTCAGTCTAGGGCAGGCATACTAATTCTGATATCTGATATTTGATTTGGGATCCTGTTTTTAAAGGGAACTTAGTGGACAGTGTTCAGGAGTAGACAGTCATTTTTAAGATTTCGATTTGAAGTGGAAGTGGATCCAGAATCTAAGAAAGGTTGAAACATTTTGGATATAATTTTAGAAGTCTTCGTGAAGTTGTTCATCGTATTTTGACTCAAAATGGAAAAGGAAGTGCATTTATGGAAACAGAAGTAGGTTAGATGGTAGATATTGTAGGGAAATATATTTCATATTTCACAAGAACTTTATTCATAAGAACTTTCAAAGCCATCCCTTGGATTATATGTCATAGGAAACACAAAGCCTTGCCTGAAATAATGTAGCTAAGGTGATAAATGTATCATGAACAGAGTACGTTAATTCTGCATTGTAAAGTCCAGTTTTGGTGCATAGGTACACAGTAAATGTATTTGAATGAATATACTTGAGAAATTTAAGGGTATTATGGGAATTCAAAGTATTGAGTAATGGCTTTGTTAGTGGGGAGGTATTATAAGGGAAGCTTTCATGGAAAAAGGATCTGAGATTTTAAAAATGCCTTGCAGGTGCTATGAAACAGTTAATTGCAGAGTCAGGGTTTTTGACTCTTAACTCAGAAATTGGGGCAGAGGGGACACTGTGAACATTGCTAATGGGAGTACTTCAAAATTTGTTGGTGATTAAGTTCAGTGATTCTCAAATTTTAATGTACATACCAAACTCCTGGAATTTTGTTTAAATTCAGATTCGAACTCAGTAAGTCTGGGTTATGGCCTGATAAAGTTTTTAAAAGCTGCCAGTTAGTACCATTGCTGCTGACCTCCACTTGGAATAGTACCTATTGAGTAGACACCTAAGAATGTGAGAACTCACATCATTGGAAGTGTGTGCACAAATGGAGACTGGCCAGGCGTTGCCAATTTCTTCTAGAGTGTTGCATTAGACAGTCTTCTCCATTCATTGTTAGTGACTTTTTTTTAAAAAAAAAGATTTACTTAGGCATGCAGAAATGGGGTACAAGCCAGAGGTGCAGGGGCCATGAGAGGATTCACCAGAGACAGAGTGGGGAGCAGAACAGGCAGATCAATGAAGTACACTGCCGAGGAGAGCAGTGGGCAGGTTAGGAGGAGAGGTCTGCCGTGCCCTGTGGATCACCTCCGGGGCAGGGGATCGAACTTGCACTGAAGCAGCAGCACTAGCTTGTAGTGCCATGTCCTTACCCATTGCACAATTGGGAGGGCCCCAATTGTAACATTTTATCCAGGATTACTTAATGCATTTCAAGAAATTGTGTAAGGTGTATGTCTACATACAGACTTATTTGGTGACTGAAATTGCTCATTTGTGACTGGAGTTTGTACAGTGACTGAAAGCAGACTTTAGAGTCAGTCAGGGAGGTGGTTTCAAATTACAGCTCTGTAAGCCCTCTGCAAACATTTCTGAGCTTCTTTCTTAATTGTAAAATAGAGGTTAAGCTATAGTGAAAGTTAGTAGTATATGTAAAATTTCTGGTCTGGATTAAGTGCTTATCAGGTTTTAAACTCCTAACAGCATTTTCTCATTTATTCATTATGACTAAGAAAAAAAAAAAACTTATCAGTTAAATACATGTTGTTTATCTGTGAAGATATATTCTGACTTCTGGAGAACCCTGTTTGGAGAATATGGTTCTTATTATACAACTAAACATATCTTTGTCAGTTCCTGTGAGGGCAAAGAAGAGGTGTGACTGTAATGGGGACATTACCTCATGTGGAATAGTCAAGGAGTTTTCATGTGTCACAGAATAAAAATGGTTGTAACAGATTGAACTCAAGGTCTTCAGAGATATTTAGGTTAATCTGAGTTCAAAGAGTGGGCACCTTAAATGGATGTCATAGTCTCGATTTGCAAATATTTATGGTTCTCTATGACCTATATACAGATGGGAAACAGGCACTCCTACAGTAGATAAGGCTCCTTACACTACCCTAGAGAGGTTACATGCCAAATTGACTTAAATTTCCCCTAATTTGGTCACTGTATGTTGGAAGTATAGTTTGGAGTTTATTTTGCACTGTCATAACACGTAACAGTTGGGAAAAGGTGATACAGAGTATGTTTTAATAAGTTCCAATTTGGAAGTCAGGAAGATTTGAATTAATTTTTCACTTTTCTTTTGTACACTTCAGGACCTGTAGATGAGTACATGTTGCCATTTGAGGAGGAAATTGGCCAGCATCCATCTCTTGAAGATATGCAGGAAGTTGTTGTGCATAAAAAAAAGAGGCCAGTTTTAAGAGATTATTGGCAGAAACATGCTGTAAGTTAGTTTTTTATTTGAAATTTTAAAGATGTTTTTCAGGTAAATAATTCTGCATATTTTTTCTACTGGAAGGTGATAACAAGAAATTCTGTACCTCGGTTCTAGAAAAAAATAGGGCTATGCAAGTATGCTGATGAGGGGTATGATAAAGTTATAAAGCCTTATAGGCCTGTCATCTCTGTGGTCCTAGTCTCTCTTATTAGGAGTACTTTCCAATAAAAGGAACAGCTAGCTTTGAACCTGTTGGTAGTCAGGTTACTTTGCTGATTGCTATCTTCCCATATGCCATTTTTAAGATAAGTACCTAGTTTAAACCAGAAACTAGGTAGGCTAAGAATGAAAAAATATTGCCCTGGTTGTTTTAGTGTAGATGTAACTAGAAACAAGGATAAAACCAAGGAGAGAATCCTTGAGGATTTCATTTTTTAATCTATTGAAAGAAATGCAGATACGAAGAGAACAATAAAAATTAGTAGGCTTCTTTAACCTTGGTTTTGAATCCGGTTCAAGGGGTTATTATTGAAATTACTTTATGGAAATTGTTTTTTTTTTAAGTTGTATTTATTTATTCATACAGAACTGGGGTACAGGCCAGCGGTACCAGGGGGGTGAGGATTCATCAGAGACAGCATGGGGAACAGAATAGGCAGATTGAGGAAGTACACTGCTGAGGGGAGCAGCAGGCAGGTCAGGAGAGGTCTGGCACACCATGTGGATCACCTACAGGGTGGGGATCAAATTCATGTTGAAGAGGCTGCGGCTTGCTTGCAAGTGCTGCATTTTACTCCAATGTGCCACCAGGGCGGGCCCTGGAAATTCTGTTTTCTAATAGAAGACAGAAGTTGTTGTGGTATTTAAAAATGGTTTTTCCCTCCTAGGGAATGGCAATGCTTTGTGAAACCATAGAAGAATGTTGGGATCACGACGCAGAAGCCAGGTTATCAGCTGGATGTGTAGGTGAAAGAATTACACAGATGCAAAGACTAACAAATATCATTACTACAGAGGACATTGTAACAGTGGTCACAATGGTGACAAATGTTGACTTTCCTCCCAAAGAATCTAGTCTATGATGGTTGCACCATGTGTACACACTGAGAAACGGGACTCTGAACCGGAGCTGCTGAGCTAACGGAACTGCTTAGTTTATTTTCTGTGTGAAATGAGGATGATGTCTCCTGGACATGTCTGAGAGAAGACCCTCATTTAAAAATGTGGCTCTGGGAGACTCAAGGCATTGCCTACAACAGAGACGTGAAGGACATGAGACTAAGAGAAAAGTTGCAAACTCTTTAAAGAAACTTTTGAAAAAAAAAAAGTGTACATGAAGAATGTGGCCCTTTCCAAATCAAGGATCTTTTGGACCTGGCTAATCAAGTGTTTGAAAACTGACATCAGATTTCTTAATGTCTGTCAGAAGACACTAATTCCTTAAATGAACTACTGCTATTTTTTTTTAAAAAATCAAATACTTTTCATTTCAGATTTTGAAAAGGGTAACTTGTTTTTATTGCATTTGCTGTTGTGTTTCTATAAATGACTATTGTAATGCCAATATGACACAGCTTGTGAATGTTTAGTGTGCTGCTGTTCTGTGTACATAAACAAAGTCATCAAAGTGGGGTACAGTGAAGAGGCTTCCAAGCATTACTTTAACCTCCCTCAACAAGGTATACCTCAGTTCCACGGTTGCTAAATTATAAAATTGAAAACACTAACAAAATTTGAATAATAAATTGATCCATGTTTTGTAACAAGGTATTACATATTCACTGTGTTATTTAAGAAAAAGGTAAGCTATGATTAGTGCCAAGAGTAAGTGGCCATTTGTAAAGCAGTGTTTTAAATTTTCTGTGCTAGCTTGTAATAAGGGAAAAGTGCTGTTTTTCTCAAATGAAAAAATGGTATAATTTTCCCCTTCTCATGTTTTAAAGCTTCATCTTCTACCCAGTTCCCAAAATATTGCATACTTAACCTAAGTTGTTTTTTTTTTTTTAAAGGTGTGCTGTGTTTGGGGAATATTTGAAAATTTAAAGCATGATTTACATTTTTTAAGTGAGCTATGACACTGGAAAGCTCTTCATTTTTATTCTTTTAAAATATTCTTTTCCTATTTATGTATGTAAATTTGTAGTGTATTTCTTTTCACTAAACAGTGTGGGACATTCTTTATCACTGTTTTAGAATCACCTCAGGAAGTGTCATCACCCAGAATTCCTCACTTTCTGCTTTGAGACTTAAAACTTTATCACTATATTTCTGCTTGGTGCCATCTTGTCAAGATTTAATATTTGATGTCTGTGCTTTGTAAAGAATTATCCTAGGATAGAGATTTCAGATTTAAGCACAGATTTCAGATGTTACTGCTTTAAAACAAATCAGGGATAACAAGTTAAACTTCTAACTTAAAATATGCAATGACATTTAGAAGTAATCGATGTTGATATGTAACAGCCTATCTTCCTCCTGCAAATTGTTTTCATGACTGATATTAATTTAAGATGCTTCATGCCTTATCCTTGATAAGAAAATGGAATTGATGGTAGGTGGGTGCCAAAAGTGCTTTTCAAAATAATTACATTAGAATTGGACTCTTCCTCAAATTTACATAGGCCAAAATAACACATTAATTCCCTTAATTTCAAGATTAGTGACCAACAAATAGCCAGTATTATGTGACATACTTTTGTCAGGTCATTTTAAAATCCATATACTTCTATAACAATCTTTTACATGTCACTATCAGGAGCTCACTGTGATATGTTATCTTCAAATGGTTATTCAACCACACAGTACACTACATTTTACATATAATATGCACTTAATCTCTGGGAATACTATATTATTTATAAATAATTCATAGGTGAACAGATTCTTAAGGAGGGAGGAAAAGAAAACACCATTGTTGCCTGTGTGTCAGACACTGTACAGAACTGTGTTCTGGGTAACATGCCCACAGTTTCACTGTATTCTTAAGAATTCCTATTTCAGTGTTGAGTTCACCTCTATCAAAAAGTACTTGGCTCTGCAACTTTTTGATTTGTTTTACTTCTACTCTGAAACAAATCAAGAAGGGAAAGTATCAAGAATGCATATATGTTAAAGTTGTTGATTTCATGAAGACTAATTTCTACCTGTTCTAAACACTTGACCCTGTTTTTAAAAGTTAAAATCTAAACCAAGGAATATTATCTTGTTTGGCTTATGTGAACATGAGAGAAATTTTATAAAATCATAAATTTCTTCACAAAATGAAGTTTTCTCATGTTAGAGAAAATTTTTTAAAATGCTGGGTATTGTATTTTAACTCTAGCTAATCAATTTTGAAACTTGTATCCTTTTGAGAATTATATTAATAGAAAAAAACTTTTTATAAGCAGTAAAATAAGAATGTTCCAGTTACTACCTGTCCTGATACCTAGAGTCTTGTTATAACTTTCTTTTGCAGGGCATTTTCATTTTTGGTTTACAATCAGTGCAGAGTGGGCAAGTTAACAAGTTTGAGTGTGGGATGCTGAAGAAAAAAAAAGGATCAAAGAATGAGAAAAATGGCTTTTTGTTTTGGGGTTAAGTGGGACCCCAATCATTTTTTCCTCATGTGTATGGTGCTTCTTATGATTTATCTTGTATTTTGCCTTTCTGATACCCATCAGGACTGCTGCTCTAACTTATATTTCTTAACCTTGCCCAGATTCGTGTAAGGAATGCTTTATGATCAACTGACATAGGACTGATGGATTAACCAGTGTTTGGCTTTTTTTCAAAGTCTATGCCCTGCACAGCTCTTGTATGTATTTTAGATACTAGGAAGTTTCTAAGCATGTGATGTGTGATTCTTGTTTGAATGTTTATTACAGATACCTTGTGAATTCCAGAACAGAGACTGTGCCTCACAATTGTTGATCCCATGAACTTGCACTCTTTTTCATGGTAATGTTCTGAAAATACAATCAGGAAAAACCACCAAGTTTGGAATTTAAAAAATAGAATCCTAGTATCATGAAATTAAAAAAAAAAAAACAAAAACAACCCCCCCCCCCCACTCCTAAGTAATAGCTACATTTAAGTACAATGCAAGTGGTAGGGAAAAACCCCTGGCCATATGATAGCTTAGTATAAAGTGATACTGTTTAAAAAAAATATGCTTCACCACAGATATTTTCCAGCTTCTCTTTTTTACCTTTTTAATAAATTACTTTTTAGGAATATTTGATAAAATTATTTACTGAATTATGGGCAAAATGATACAAGTAGCATCTTGATTGAACATTATTTACCTCAGATATTCAACCAGCAGTACATTTTTTATGCAGTCTCAATCCATATTCTATTTGTTACCTCTCAAAATATTGGTAAAAATTATTTTAGCTTTACTCTGTATTTCTTGTCAGTGTTTTGGGCACAGGTTGTACTACTGTCAAATTGTACTTGCTATTTTTTTCTGCAAGTATTTAACAAAAAACTTAAAAAAAAAAAGCCCCATAAAATCCCACCTTGGATGATTGTTAAATATTGTACAAATAAAATGTATGCTACCCCCATTACATCCCCACATTAAATAAAAAAAATGACTATAATTTGCATATGCAGTTTTTCTTTAGCTCTATAAGGGAACTATAGTAACTAATTTGTTGTGAGGCTTCCACCTTTGCGATTTGCAAGAGAGGAAAGAGTTTGAACGTCAAGTTTCTCAGTTGTGGCACTTTCCTCGTTTCCATGTATTCTCATGATGGTATGCATGTTGGTCCTACAGGTTAGGAAGTATGAGGCTAACTTGTCTTTCATATGGCAGTAGAAAAATGTGGCTTAGCTAATAGTCAAAGATGCAAAGTATGTTTCCCAACTTACATACTACTTTGCCAACTGAATAGAAAAATTCTGGTATCTACACTTGGGGTAACACCTTAAGAGTAATCATCAAGGAAGCTAGATTTCATTTACATTTTTAATATTGTAAAGGCTTTTGTTCACAGTGGAAAAGTCTTAAAATACCACACAGAGTATTGAAGGTTTGCACCAATGGATCTCACTTTTAGAGTGATGATGAAGTTAGTTAAAGAACCTGCTTTACCTTCTAAACTAAATGAATATCCATGGTGGGCTCTGAATGGAATCTACACAGAAAGACTTAAACTTTTCCATGTTGTGTTGTGCAAGCTACTGATTCTTCAGAAAGTTAACCTGAGTATATACTAAATATATAACATTATGATATAGCAAGTCTGAACCAACAGATTAACTCCTCAGAGCCATTCATATGCATGTACAAGTGACCTGGATAATTTCTCTTCTTAACAAGATCCTGTTTTTGTAGGGCACATAGAGAACACAAAATTCCTACACTGACATCTCTCAATGTTTTTCTTGTCTCCTTCAACCTGATGAGCCACAGAGTCCATGGGCTTTTGACTGTATTTTTAAAAGACTACATTTCTCTTTTAGTAAATGAAATTATCTTTAAGCCTTTAAAGTTTGTGCTAGGGCTTTTTAGACCATTTTATTTTACTGATGTTGGTTACCCTTTAAGCAATTTATTATTAGGTTGCTTTATTGACGGCATTGGTTGACAATATTGTATAGGATTTAGAAGTAGAGGACATTCTCCCTCAGGTATTAACATCACACCTACCTGCCCCATAAGATACCAAAATTCTCCACCACGATATACTGTGCCCCTCCCCACTTGTTCACTCTCCCTCTCTCACAGCCAGCTTCAGTTCTTCAGTAACATTTCTAGAGTTTGTCACTGGTTTAAGCCATTTAAGAGATAAAACTATCTCTAAAAATACTGGAAATAAATTAAGCTGTTTTGTATTAAGAAATATGGATAAAGACACATTAACATCCCTATTTCACTCAAATAAATGCCTTTGGAATGTAGGCATATGCTTCATTTTTATGACATTTGCTAGCATTTTTTTTAAAAAATCACCTTAGAAAAAGCTTCACATGAAAATAAAACACACTAGTTACTACTTAGTATTTTAATCTGTATACCAGTATGTTGATTGATCTTCTGTATCTCTTTATGTAACCAGGGATGCAGAAAAGAACTCTCAGCCTTTTAGTAGCATTTTAAATGAGAAAACAAAAAAAAAAACTTAGCAAGTGAGTTCTATAGGTGCTTTTATAGTCAATGCCTTTTAGGCAAATAGTACATTGCCTAAAATAGCTCAGATATATTTCTTAAGGGGCCAAAAATAAGCATAAATATATAATCTTTGCTTCTATTTCATGCTACCATGTATTTCTGCAAAATTCCCCTCTCTCCAAAAAAATACTCCACAAAAACTAAACATGTATACATAGAACCAGTATGAAAGGCCTGCTTTATGAAATATTGCAAGAAGTAAATGACAATGATATGAAGACTCAGAAGGCACAGAGGATGGTTATTTATGCCAAAGAATGTATTGGTAAGAGCTTCTGTTATGTTCAGACATTGTACATTCCACTTTACATTCCATACTTCTTAAAAAAATAGAGTAAATGATTTCTTATGCATACTTTTACCAATACATGATAAAAAACCACTTATTGAACTTTAGCTCCTAATAGCAAGGAATCTGAGAAAATTCCAAGGTCTGTCAAACATTTAATTCTGGATACTTGCAATACTCTTATTTTCTCATCTCTAAATAACAGTACCTAAGTACAGAGGCTTTTAGAGTTAAAGGAATTATAAACTACAAAATAGGTACTCCAGTCTTTGGTAAGCCTCATGTAATGCAAATCACAGTCTGCAAATATTCTTGAATGAAGTCACTAACATGAATGATTATTTAATTTAGGACATACCTGCATTAGTTCAGATTCCTGGATCTCTAAGGTTACACATTTACATATTCCTTTTTAAGGACATTTACTTTTTGATATAAATAGGTTTAGGTAACACTGCAAAACACTGCTCATTATTTGTGGTCCTGGCCTCCCAGGAATGTTCACGAAGTCCTTGTTTTTGTTTTTAAAAAGAAGAACAAATTCTGACCCTTTGGCTTAGAACAGGTCCAAGACTATGATTTTAAAAAATAATCCTACAAGGGATCCCTATGTAGATGGTGTGTAACCACATTTTGAGACATCTAGAAGAAAACAGTCAAAACTTTTGGCTTTTTTCTTCCATGCAAACTAACTTCTGGTCAAAATCGTTAATTTCCTGAAGTAGAAGATCTGAAACTGAGATTAAATGAAAAAATAATTCACTATACCTTATGGTCTATAAAAACAACTGGTTGTTGGGTTGAAATAATTCTTCAAATATACCACATACATACTTCCCAAGTGTAAAGAAGCATACAGTTCAGTACCTAAAAGTCACATTTTTTGTTTTGAATTGCTACTTACACCATAATCTGTATCACTGGAATTACCACTCCTACAGCTGCTAATAAGTCAAAGGCAAGACACAGCTTAGACAACAGTCACCATATATACAAAAATGTGCTTGCAAACATAGAAAATAACATTTTTAAAAAGACAATAGTTCTTCAAAGAAGTATGACTAAATCTTTGTAACTGAAGACAGTGGGTATACTCATAACCAGCTTAATGAGGACGTTGCCCACTGCCTAACATCTGTAGGACAGTTGGGGTATTTCTGCAAAGCATTCATAATTTGAGTATTATCCAAAAGTAGTTTCATCAGTTGGTATTCTCTTTGTGCATTTACTGAAGTTCTTTCCATGGGCCTTATTAATTCTAATTGCTGTAAGTGTTCAAAAGCCTGAAAGATGAAACAGATAATTTAGCTTGAATAGTAGGAGTAAAATAGCAAAGTTAACTCAGAATGGTTTGGGTTTTGATCAGATGTCATATAGAATGTCAGAAAACACACTTTACTAGAAAGAGCCCAGATAACTATTTCTGAAAATGAAGATACCAAAGGCTGCAGGTATTAGGGCTGGGTAAAACTGAGGAGACTTAAATTTTTCTCAGCAGCAAAATGCTTTCTTCTTAAATGAAGAAATGAAATGCTGCAAATTATAAGAATTTAAATACTCAGAAAAACCCTTTCTAATCATACTTGCAAATAGATATGCATTTAGAAAGGGGAAATCCTCTAGTAAGCAAAATATTTTTCTTACTAATGTGAAAAAAATGGCAATGGCTTTTATTTATATTTTTTGGTTACTACAACAGAGAAGATCCTGATTATTAAGTCTTAAAAGGAATACTATTAGACTGAACAGAATGCTTTAAAAAAAAGTTTGTTTCCATAAATTCCTTCAGTCCTGCACTGGTCCAAAATGGTAACATCTAGCCATCTATTGCTAATGAGACTTTGAAATGTAGGGCTCAACTTGTAGTTTTATTTAAATTTTACAGACTTAATTGAATATTGATACTAGAGTCAGTTTATAAACATATTCTGAGTCAGGGTACTTAAGTATCTTTAGAAAAAATCTAGAAGTAAATCTACAGCTAAAATTTTTTGGGGTCTAAAGAACAACTATTTCCAATGAATATTTAATGAATTAAGATGAACTTTAAGTACAACAACAAAAAGTATTGAAGACTTATCATGAAAGAAAATACTACCTAAATTTTTTTCTATGTTGACTGAAATGTTTTTAGTATACTGAGTTAAAAACACGTATTATTGAATTTAAGATTAATTTCCTTTTTCTTTCGTATTGCTGTTAGAAACTAAAATTACATTATGTGGCTTACATTATATTCTCCTACTAGAAAATGGTATGCCTGAATAAAATTCTTCAGGCTTAAAATGCATGCCTTACCCAAAACTCTTTTGTATGCCCTCAATACCCAATGCAATTTTTTTGTCCTATAGAGTCTTACTGGCCTTTACCTGAATTTTTGTGTTCTTTTAAAGCTGAGATTATAAGGCAGACCCTCAAGCTATTAAGGAATAGGGATATACTGAGATATAGAACACACTGTAATCAAGTTCTAGAAATAGACAGTAGAGGGCAGTATACCTCTACAAATGGAAACAGCTTTGAAATTAAACATTTCATTTCTAGAAAAGTTTTGTTTTGACAAAATAAAATCCTATGATAATATTTGAAATTTATAAGAACAAAACTGATAGATTGGGTAAAAAAATATAATTACAACTTACCTTCATGACAACAGGTTTCTCAAAATTATAAACAGAATGGGCCTTTCTTTGAACAAACTTCTGAAACTCTGAACAGAAAGCAATGACAATATTAATTCATTCAAATGAGCAGATGGGTAGACTTAGGAAGAAATGTTTTAAGGCTCATCTCACCATTATACACCATTTGAAAATTAAAAGGCTCCTCTTCATAGATATCATTTAGATGTTTCATTGCTATTATAAGACAGATTTCCAAGACAGACAAGCCTACAGTAAAAGAAAACTGTAAGTTATAGTTACTTATTAATACATAAGATTGAAATAACTGTCCTCTAAAGAATAAGGTAAAAGCTCATGATTTTAAGGGGCTGGGGAAGTCAAGACATTGCCCAGGTTCAAAAGTGTTTCACTCACTATTATTTAATAATCTTTTACGAAGTTACTCAACTTTTCTGAGCTTTAATTTCTTTTACTTGCAAAATAAGAACGCTTTTAAAATTAGGTGTTAAAAGTATTAAGAGAAACATTACCAAGCACTTACACATAAGGTATCTAGTAAACATAAGCTTGCGCTAATTATGTAACTTTAAATCATGTATTTGATTTAAAAAAAGTAAACTATGGAAATTAAACCTAAAATTTTTATCTGGAAATAAGGTTTATTTGTCTTAAAAGGGACAGTGAATACAAAATGGCTAAAACCCAACACTGTTCAGTAGCATTTGGTGCAATGAAAAAACCAGCAATACAGTTTTAGCTGAATTTCCAGCATGGTACTTTAAAGGGAGTGACAATAGCTGTTAGTAGGCTAAGTTAAAGGTGGCATAGATATAAATTATTCTGAACATAAAGCACTATAATTAATGTTATACTTTTGAAAAACATTCCATTATCTAAATTTAAGCTTCTAAAAAAACAAACTAATCAGTGTTCTCACCATGTACTATATTTGCTTTAGAATCCATGCTACACAGCTGACTTGCCTCCATCAGATCTGCCACTGTCATAAAAGGATGTGATGATGTTACACGATTTAAAGTAAGCATCTAGAGAATATGGATTAGAAAAAGACTTTGAGAACTCACTCCATTTGGAAAGACAATATATTAGCATAATGGGTCTCCTTGAAGGAGAAGAGACAGAGGGCAAACAAAGTTCATTCAAAGAAATAATAGAGGAAAACTTCTCAAACTTGGAGAAGGGACTAAAAACAATTCCATACAACTGAAAATCTGATTATCTAAATGTAATGAGACCAATACCAAGACACATGGTCATGAAACTACCACAAGCAGAAGACAAAGAATACTTAGGGGAAAACTTAATAAAGGTGCTCTGAACAGAAATACATCAACTTCTCACATAAACTCTTAAATGCAAGAAAAAGGAATAAGGCAGGCAAATATAAAAGCTGACAGTCAGGACATGAGTGAGAAATTATAAGATATTCCCAGACAATCAACATCAGGCTTCTATAAGATGTGTATTTATTTGAGCATTTTGGAGATAATGCTAAACAATTAATCTGGAGCCAAAAGGTTGAGCAAATATTAATGCGTAGGAAAGGTATTCCCTCATTCAGCTCTATTAAAATATAGTATCTGAGTTCATATGCAACATAATTCTCTCAATACAAAGCTAAGTTGTTGCTACTCTACCCAATTACACTAGTTTGTTTCTCAAAAAAAAAGTATAAAGAGACCAAGAGTGAGGATATTATTAAAAGTAAACCCAAATCTAATTAGGTAATTCTGTGACTTGCATAAATAACAGAGGCTCAAGTTTATGGAAAAAACAAAATAAGGGCCCTCCCTGGTGGTACAGCATGGTAAAGCACAGCACTAAGAAACTAAAGCCATTTCAGCATGAGTTTGATTCCTGACTGGGGAGGTGACCCACATGGCATGGCAGACCTCTCCTGACTGCCCATTGCTCCTCTCAGCAGTGTACTTCATCAGTTGGCCTGTTCTGCTCCCCACTCTGTCTCTGGTGAATCCTCTCACAGCCCCTGTAATTTTGGCCTGTACTCCAGTTCTGTATGCATAAATAAACAAATCTTTAAAAAAAGAAAAATGCAAAATCACACACAGAAACAATACTTGAAAGCAGTGTTCATTCTTCATGTAGCTTTCCAATAACTAATACAATTCCTATATATGCAAATTTATTTATTTGTAGTTTTGGTTACATTTAAATATAGTGGACCAAATTTAGCAGATAAAAATGCAGTTTTTAGTGTAAATACGTATCATGCATTATTTGGAACATACTACACCAAAACTTCTCCATTTAATCAAGGCCCAGGTATTTGGTTGAGCAGTGTAATTTGGCATTCTTTGTCCTTAATGCTCCTTCTGGGAGGGATATCCTGGTAGCTCCCCTACTTTGCAACTTTTCCTGTTATAAAATATTTTTGAGGGCCTCCGAGGTAGCCTTCGTGACCATGGGTGACTATGACCCACTGGGCCTGAGCTCAGTGAGTACATATGGCACAGCAGAGCTCTCCTGTCTCACCCACTGCTCCCACACTAGTGTATTTCAGTAGGCCTACCTGCTCTGCTCCCCACTGTCTATAGTTAACACACACAGACACACCTCTGGCCTACAGTCCGGTTCCTTTACAAAAAAAAAAAAAAAATCAAAAGTTTTGATATAAATAAGGTATGAGATAAAGAGAACAGATATGATACAAGCCCAGTTCCTCAAATTAAGAAATAAAATCTTTTTGCTTTGGAACCCATGAATCCACCTGACTGAATTCTATTCTTCTCCATACAGAGAAACCATGTATACAACTTTATACTTCTATTTTCTACTACACACATACATGTATTTTTAAATAATACAGTAACTTTAAAGTTTTATAAAATAGTATATGGTACTTTCACAATTCTCCCTTCACTGTGTTTATTATGAGAATTTATTATGCTTAAGTGTCAATTCTAGTTTATTACTTTCCATGCATCATCATATTTTACAACTATTCTTTCCCTTACTGATGAGTATGTCTTTTCTTTTAATGCAATTATAAACGACTGCAAAAAGCAATCTTGTATATACCTTCTTGTATATTAGAGATTTGCTAAATACTCAATTTGCCAAATTGCTCTTCCAAGTACCTGTACATCTTTGAACATCAGCAGCAAGAAATTTTAATGGTCACAGACATCATACTATCGGACATAAATTTTGACATAAAAGAATGGCAGAAAAGGTCTAATGGCAAAATTTTCCTAGTTACTGGAGAAATTAAAGATCTTTGCATATTATAGGTATGTGAGAATCTGCTTTACTAGATTACTTGCTCATATTCTTAGCTCATATCTTTGTTGATTTCTGTATAAGTTCATATCTTCATTGATTTCTATATTATGGATAGTGTTTATGACTACACAAGACACATATGCCCTACTCAGTCTTCACTTCTGTTATCTTTTGGGGCACAGATATCAAATAAATCAATGTAAATAAGCTTATACATTCTAAATGGTATTGATTTTTTATCACCCTCCAATCTTTCTGTACCCCTAATATTAATAAATTCTATTTAATTTTTCCTATGATTTTTTTTTTTTAACCTAACATTTCCATTTATCAACCTGGAATTTACTTTGAGTATGCCATCAGGTTACATATTTGTGTGTGTATAACTCTTATTTGTTGAAAATTATCCAAACTAGATTTAATTTCAGCCAAGTATTTCCCACTTTTTAAAGATTTCCACCAATTTCAAAACTTTTGAAATTGAAAAAACATCAAATAAGTCAAGCCACTATACCTTGAATTAAAACTTCAACAGGAAAACAAAAGTATTCTTAAGCTAATTGAAAGAAAAAAAGGAAAAGGGTTACTTTCCCAGTGAGATAAGTATATGCTTTGTATGTGTGGTAATCTATCTTCTATACCATAAGTTAGTAAATATATTCTAATTATAGTATTTAAGTAAGTAAAGTCCCTACTGTAAAATTTCTAGTTCCAAAATTTCTTTAAAAAAGAGCTGTTGCCACAAAACATCATTGTTTTAGAAAATGGATGAAAGATTTGCTAATAAGAAGAAAAGTGTACAGGATGAAAAAAAAAATCTTAGATTTCCTCAACAAAAATAAAAGAGGAGACTCTGTATAAACATGACAGAATCATATAGTAAAATAAAACCCAACTATAAAACCAGAGAGCCTTGGAAGTGAGTGGTGGGTTTGCCTGGAGTAGCTACTGACCAATAATCACTTCACCTCAGTTAAAGATAAAAACACCCAATGATGAAAAACAGGATTATTGAAAAGGTTAGGGTTAAATAATGTTGGTGAAGTAATTATATTATCTGATTTGTGTGCTAATCAATAAATGTTACCTGTACCATTATTTTTTTAAAAGACTTATTTATTTATGCATACAGAACTAAGGTACAGGCACAATAAGAGGATTCACCAGAGCCAGAGTGGGGAGCAGAACAGATAGATCTATGAAGTACATTCCTGAGGGGAGCAGCAGGTATGACAGGAGGTCTGCTACACTTTGTGGGTCACCTCGCTGGCTGGGGATTGAACTCACATTGAAGTGGCTGTGTCTAGCTTCACAGTGCTGCACCTTAACCTGTTGCTCAACCAGGGAGGGGACCCCTGTATTATTATAAGTGAAAGTGACTAAGATGAAATTCATTAAACCAAAAGTATTTTTCCTAGAAAATTCTGTCATGGACAGATTCTAGAGACTAGATAACATCAAAGACTCTTAGAAAAGGAAGATTTTTAATTTTCTGAATAGTTAATATATGCATTATTGATACTGTTTAAGCTTAAGATATATTTATTTGGTGCAAGATCATGACCAGGTGGTTTATTCTAGGGACAACAGTCAAAAATCAACATATCAGCAGGCTATCAACAAGTCACATGACTATATCCATTGAAACAGAATAAGCATTTGACAAAATTCAGTACCCATACATAATAAACTCTCAGCAAGTGAGGAACAGAGGGGAATGAAGTACCTTAATTTGGTAATCACCATGTAGGAAAATCTGTAACTTTTGTCATATTGAATGTTAAAAGACTGACTGCCTTCTCCCTAAGATTGTGAATAAGGCAAAGATATTTACCTTCCTTATTTCTATTGAACACAATGTAAGATCTAGCCACTATAGTGTGATATGAAAGAAAAACAGATTGGGAGGGAAAAATACAACCTCTCTGCAAATCAAATTTATGCAGAAAATCCTATGCAATCTATAAAAAAATAACTCCTATAAATTGAGTTCAGCCAGATTGCTAGATACACAAAAAGCATCCACATTTCTATATATTAACAATGAACATAGTGAAATCAAAATTTAAAACAAAATGTTATTTAGGTATACACTTTAAACATGTACAGGGTGGTGAGAATTATTAAGTAATGAAAAAAAATCAAAGAAGAAATAAATAAAAGAAGTGATATAAATATTCAGAAAATGCAGTAGGATATATTCCCAAAGGTTAGCTATAGGTTTAATCAATTCCCACTACACCGTAATTACTCAATGAAAGAGTGATAAAAATAAAAATACAAACCAATAGCATGTGTAATGAACGCAGATTTTTGCTGACATTGAAGTGCTTCTCTAATATTTCTTGCACACTTTTGTCTTCTGAGAGACACTACAGAAAAATGTATCAAAACAGTTAAAGAACAATTTAAAATCTAAATAGAATTAACTTTAATAGAATTAATTTCACCTGATATTCATTATTGAATGGGTGCTAGTCTGAGTTATATAATACAAAAATCAAAATAAAATTACAGTCTCTTATTTTTCTTATCATTTTACATTAAATCAACAGACAACAAAGATTAAATATAATCCTTGTTATCCCCAAATTTCAAACCTAAAATGGGAAAATATTTCTGATACTCATGGGCAAATCAAAGATAGAACAAAATTTGACAGCAAAAAAGAGTTTAAAAATTTGGGAAAACAAGGTTAAAGTACTACAAGGAATGCATAAACTGTGTCAACAGGCTAAGAGGAGATAAAAACTTTCAGTTAATGGGGATAGTATGAGCAATGCATGATTATGGCATATTAACAGAAGATGACTGATTATGTATGCATGAACTTCAATTATTATTAGCAAAGTTAGATTTAAGGAGACACAAAGGCAAAAAAGAGAGGCAAGAGATGAGGGGGTCTGAATTAACAGTGGTGTGAAGAGAGATTCAGTATGTTTTTAGAAGACATGTTTAATGAAGAATCAACTGGTGAAGTGTTTGAGAAGGTGAAAATAAAGCAAAGATTACATACAATGAGGGGTAGAATGTCCCAGAAGAATGGAGAGATTTGTTCAAGAAATAAACACTGGATTACCAATACGTAAGAAGTAAATGGAAAATGAGAAACAAAGTAAGAGATTGAGTGAGAAAACTACTAAAAACTGGAGGAGAATGTATATCAGAGACAGTGATTTGAAAAAAAATCAAGGAACTAAAACTAGAAAGGACTTGATGGTCAAAAATTAAAAAAGGAAAAACTGAAAAGTATTTGAAGAAGTTAACAGGTTTAGAAATTTAGAGATCAGTAGGACCCTTTGAGAGAGCAGAAACTGAAAGAGTTAAATGACTGCAGTAAGTTACGATCAATGGGCCCTCCCTGGTGGCACAGCAGGTTAAAGCACAGCACTAAGAAGCTAAAGCTACTGCCTCATGAGTTCCGATCCCCGCCTGCCCCGGAGGTGACCACATGGCCCAGAGGTGACCACATGGCGCGGCAGACCTCTCCTGACCCACCCGCTGCTCCCCTCAGCAGTGTACTTCATCGATCTGCTTGTTCTGCTCCCCACTCTGTCTCTGGTGAAGCCTCTCGCCACCCCTGAGCCTCTGGCCTGTACCCCAGTTCCGTATGCACAAGTAAATAAATCTTAAAAAAAAAAATTACGATCAATGAAAAGCAAGTACGCATGGCACTGAAAAAAGGATTAAGTGAAAGAATAAGATCAGGAAGTGGCAGATTCTGGTTTGGGCAAGATTGACAAAATTTTTACAATCGTCTGCAAAGAATAAAAATTCTTTGGAAATCAATTATTCCATACTAAAAAGGAAATTCGGCCCTCCCTGATGGCACAGCAGGTTAGGACACAACACTGCAAGCACTGCAGCCACTTCAGTGCGAGTTTGATCCCCGGGCCCAGAGGTGATCCCCATGGCCCGGCAAAACATTCCTGTCTGCCCGCTGCTCTCCTCATCAGTATACTTTCTCAATCTGCCTGTTGTGTTCCCCTCTCTGATGAAGCCTCTCACCACTCCTGCACCTCTGGCTTATACTCTAGTTCTGTATAATAAATAACTCTTAAAAAAAAAAAAAAGGAAATCCAGAAAACCAATGGTTTCCATATTTTCTAAAGCTAAACATTATCTTTATTTCTTCCACTGTAGCAAAATCCAGATGAGGAATAAGTCCTCATCTAACAGAATGAAATATTATGAGCTCAGTAAATATATTAGTTGAGCTATAGTCCCTATTCCCTTGTTATTGTTTTTAGGCTACTTTCTTTCTTTCTTTTTAATTTTAAAAGGACTTGCTGTCACTATACATCATTTTATCATCACAAAAAGGCTCAAATATCCTTTAGGTGTACACAGGATGAACATCCAGTAATAAAGCCAAGTAACACAAGTAAAACTTTTGGGAATTTAATTGTAGCTCTGGTTTCTAAAATTGTTGACTCATCAAGTCCTTTATAAAGTTGATATATTGAAATCAGAGCTCTTAGGAAAATTAAAGACAATCAGTTGGAGCAAAAATATTGATGGAAGAAATCAATTAGATATAAAAACACTATTTGCTTCTTTTACATGATGCTTCAACAGGTTAATTTTCTATAAAAAATTTTTCTATCAAAAAACAGACCTCTCATGTTTTTAATTTCACATTAATTTTAATATTATAAACTATTTGGGGTTAAGACTGTTAACAGTAATTTCTGACTGATATCTATTACTTTTATCTAATCATTATAGTCATTAAAGATACTTTTATCATGTGTTTCAAAGATCACTGCATTTTGTATCACTTTAGTTTTAAAAGCTCCCTTATGATGTCTGAGGATGTAATGTAAGGGAAATAAGACAGAATGACTGACATCATTCCTTTTAGGAACTTGTAGGAAATTCTCAGAAACAATGCAGACTATCCTAATATTCAGAGAAGTTGATACATTTCCTTTTCACTAATGAACACATGGCTGGTAGTCACAAAAACAAGGTCTTAATGTGCTGATAAATTAGTTTGTTTGGCCAGTATTGTCTTCACAAGTAGAGTCCAAGCAAAATGTTACAGAATCACAAAAATACCTCAGGACTCGTACTGCTTCAGGGATAACTTAGAGGTAGCAGTGTATGTACTAAATTTCCTAATCAGTTCTTGCTGAACCTTTTCACCTCTGTTCACTAAGGAAGACCAGTTAAGACAGTAGGTAAATCTTCCTTATATTAGCTATAGTGCTTTAGGGAAACTTCCTTCAAGGAGAATTAACTATAATGCATTTAAATGTTCAATCTAAGAGAAATGGATTTCTTTTACAGTGCCATGCTATAACAGTATCTCCTCTGCCTAATTATTTGACTCATTTGGAGTTGGGCTAAAACAAACATTCAAATTAGGCAGGATGTCTCAGTTCACTGTGTCACAAAGATATTTCTTTCTTTCTCTTTCTTTT